GATATCAAAAAAGTACTCCAGAGTGTTGTTCAGCATGGGGGTGAGTAGAAAATGAAGGCTAATCATGTTTTGGGTGTACTATTCCTTTAAGAGCCGCTGGAGAGGGTCCAAAGAGCCATATGTGGCTCCAGAGCCGCAGGTTGCAGACCCCTGGTCTAACAGTTACTTTGTTCACCAGAAACAGTTTTCAGTTTTGTTATGGATTAGGTAAAACTTAAATCATTAGACACGCTAACGGACGCTGTGTGATGATATTATCGTTGTCTAGGCAACCACAATGTTTTACATCATGTGGCAACAATCAGCCAATCATGTAGCGTAACGACTGCTAGGAATGCATGCATGTGGTAAGGAAAAGGGTAGGTGGGAGATAACACAGTTTACCTTGTGATGGGATGACTCCATGATCAGCTCTCCATACATGTTCATGACCTTCAGTCCAGAGAAAAATAAATGCATAATGGTTAAAAGTAGAAAAAAAAGGCTTTAGCAGGGCAGAGAGTTTGGTAACAACCTGGTCATTGAGCCAGTTCTCATCAGCCAGCGTCTGCAGGTCCTCCAGCGTCAGGATGTGCTTCTTATAGGTGATCCGGAAAGCAGGGGCGGAGTTCTGGAGGACGGCTCTGCATCTGTCAACCTCAGAGGCGATCACGCTTTTGCTGCACACAGTTTGACGCAGACTGGTTTTAGATCCATCTATCAACACGGCGCCTGTCTGGAACGACTGAAGCCTTTACCTGTCACTGAATTTAGATTTAAACTTCCTCCTCAGGTGTTTCAACACGTCGCTCTTACGCAGAGGGATGAAACTTCCATATCTTCTGTAGAAGCCTTCCATGAAGTCTGGAAAAACACCCAAAGCATCATCCCATAAAAATAGAGAAGAAATATTGAAACCATGTTTTTCACATTATAAACAGAAACTGGTTATTTGATCAGGCGGCTGTGGGATTCTGTGACGGCCTCAGCGGATGGTTTTAAAAACAGGGATTCATGTTAAAGGTCATAGCTACAAACTTTTTATCAAAACAGTTTTTTTTTAATATTACATCAGCAGAAAGTTTGGTGATGGAGAATTAAACATTTTACAGTACATTTTTTAAAATACAAACTATTATTATAATTATTATAAGTTTTGACGGGTTGAAAATAGGTAAATGTTTACTTCCTGTTAGGATGTTAATGTCAATACGAAAGAATTCTGCACCAATAGGATGAATGAGTTGAAGTCACATGATCCTGCAGCTCCGTGTTAAAGCTGAGAATTTAGGCCCCATTGTTACATTTTTTAGATCAAGAACAAAAGAAAAATGCAAACAAAGGCTCTGTTTGAAAATCCTGGGCTGCATCCTCCAAGGACGCGGTCTACCTAGACTGGATCCTTCGAAGTCCTTGAAAATAAGGAGACCGGAAGAGTTTTGGCTGTGAATTCGACCAGGTCTACCCTTCGGCGGGTTTCACCGTCGTATGCTCTGTTGCTTTTCAAAACTGTTTTTATTATAAAGTGAACAAAGACTACACTCACAAGAATCCAGAGTGGAACAAAGGTGCCAACTAGGGGTGTAAATAATAATCGTTTTGTATCGATGCATCGATCCAACAGCCGACGATCCGATGCATCGATACGTCCGCAAGAGAATCGATTAATGTTTTTTCCCCTCCGGTCTATTTTTATCCATTTGCTCCTGGGTGTATCTCCCTCCCGTGCTGCGGTGGCGCTAAACCTATTTTGCCCTCCTACCTCACTTCCTGGTTATACTCTTACAGCAGTGTGCTGCAGTAGGCTTGACACAGACATTTTTAATTTATGCTCAATATTGAAGCGTGGTCTGTGCTACACGCTGTAGCCTACATGATAGGCTACAATGAGAAGGAAGGAAAACTGCGGAATACACCACGATACGATTCAATTTGATTAATTGGTTCATTTTTTTTATTTTTTTACACCTTACAGGCTAGACAATGTTTGAAATTTGAAATAAATCAATGAAAGCTGCAATAACGTT